CCTTATTAGTCCAAGTTAGTGTGCTGGTTAACCACACACGCTCCACTAACGACTTGGCAAGGTGCAAAGTGCAATTTCATGAAATAACATCATTTTCACATTTTTCCTAAAGTAACTAAGATTGGGAATTTTATAAAACATTTAGTTATTTTATAATTATCATTATACTTTTAATGAGAATTAATGTCCTATCCTACCCGTTCGGCTAACGATCCTCCACTAGTCAAGGAAGCAGTGGGTGAGAGTGGACAACCATTAAACCACCATTTTATAGGCACTAACCTTATACCCCCCTTATAGACCGGCTTCGTGAATGAGGCCTAGTAATGGTAAAACTGACTTTTAACTTATACATATATAAATATATTAAACTTTTAATTTTATATAGTATAAGGGTGTATTTTAAACTTTTAAAATACTTGATGGTTTAATTAATAAATTATACTCTTAATTAAATTAAACTTAAACCATGTTATTATTATGGATTTATTAATCTTCTCTTTTAATTAAACACTTTAATTAATTTAATACAATCCATAAGAGTTAATTTGAACTATTCACAAGACATTAAGGTTTTAAACATAAAATACAAAAATTAAAACTATTTAATTAATTTTAAGTTATAAACCCAAGAGTTGCACCTTTTAATTACAAGAGTTTTAGAAATCAAAGTTCATAATTTGAGACTTTTTAAATGTCAAAACTTGAGGGCAATTTTGTAACTCTTTAAAACATTTTGAGTTCCAAACGTGATGACAAGATTTGTAACTCCATAAAACTTTTGAGTTCCAAAACTTGATGGCAATTTTTGTAACTCCTAAAAACATTTAGATCAAATTTTAAAACCAATAAAATAATCATAATTTTATCTTTTACAAATTTGACTTAATGCAACTCTTATAGTAAGATAACTTCAAATCAAATTTTACAAACAATAAGCTTATCATATAAACTAGGAAAAATTTCAAGATTTGACAATTTATCTTTTAATTGGATGGAATAATCATAACCATATCAGAAAAAACATATTTTATGATACAAAACAGTTTAAGGTAATGATCCAAATCCAATTCTGGCCAAAAAACCCGAAAAACTACAAACAGACTGCTGAACTCGTCGATTCAGCTTATGGACTCGTCGAGTTCATCATGAACTCGTCGAGTTCATGAATGGACTCGTCGAGTCCCCCTTGTCACACAACAATTTTTTAGTTTTTCCATCTTTGAACAATTAGCCATGCATCAAATATAACAGAAAACAACCCATGACTCTGATACCACTTTTGGGTTTTTATGTACTGCAACATCCTATGGTGCACATACAACCGTAAATGCTTTGGATCTAAGTTTTCTCTAGTTATACATGCAATAAAATTTCCAAAGCATGAAGCCTATAACTAGCATATAATTTGGCATATGAATCATAAAAATAAGTTAGAAGATTACCTCTTGTTGTAGCTTGTTGAATTTTGGCCTTTTAAGAAATTAGCACCCCAAGTGTGATGCCTCAAACGGTTCACAACACACCATGAACAAAGGAGAACTTGAGAGAGTGGTTACTAGGCAAAAAATCGGCTATATGAACTTCAAGAACACTAGTGTCTGATTTTAGGCTATGGGACAACATATATATATATATATATATATATATATATATATATATAATATATATATATATATATATATATATATATATGATTCCAAGGGTCATGGGTAAACCCTAATCCATACACATAGGCTTATGTTCCATATCTCATGTGGGCTAACTCTTCATGGATACTTACATAAACTTAGCCCATCATGAATCAATAGCCCAATCCTATATGTATCACTTATTTACATAATTAGTCCCCGTTAATTTAATTAGTCTCTTTTGATAACTAAATTAATTCCAAATTAATTCTTGATCAATACTAATTAAATACTATGATTTCTCCATTAATATATTATACTTATAATGTATTAGTAAATCATAAATAACCTCTTACTCAAATATACATCCTATCAAATTGTCCTGGTGATATGCAACCCGAAATGGACCATGCTACTCTCGGGTCAAGTACATACCAATTATAGTTATGGGCTTTGACACCTAGTCCAACAGTTCCATGATCCCCTCCTTGATGGTACCAACCATCGTAGGAGTCACATCCAAAAATACCGCGAGTGATCTCAGACGAAACAAAATCACGAATCCTCTCATCAATCGACTTAGCGCCAGAGCCAGAATCTGAACCAGAACCTTCTCCACGAGTGCTCAACACTAAAATGAAAGGCAACTATAAAAATGATCCAGACATACTCGAAGAATCCTCATTCCACAGGCTTCCTAGAATCTCCATGACTTTTCTTGATTCGAGTACGGATCATGTGCTTTCAGTAGTACAGACCCAATACTACATTCCACACCTATCCATACCTCCCTCAAGAATCATCCCAAATCATCTTAGTCACCTTCTTGAATTGGTATCCCCAAAACCCGTTACTCAACGCGCCATTCAAACCAAAGCACTTCCTAGGCTCTCCTAGGATCCCTTACCTCACCCTGCCATTAGCTGTTGTAGAACTCCTACTAATGTCAACTAACTACTACATGAATACAATTACATGCAACAAAGCTTAAATAATCCTTTGATTAACAAACTCAACCCTACAACGGTTAGACTCAGACAAGAGTTGCGCAATAGGGCCAAATCAACCACTCTGAGATTATTTAACCTCTACAACATGTAAGTTAACATATTCATGTAATAATTAACTCACATCAATATGAGTCATACAAAGCACAAAGCAAGCAGCATTCGAGAAATTGGACTCTATATGCCATTTACAACAACCAACATCCTTCCTAATAGGCATTCTCTCCTAATTGGCATTCTATCATGCAACGCTGAACATATCCTTATGCTAACATCTAGCATACTAACAACAACCATCATCAATAAGGTCTAAACGTTATTTCTCAAAGCTCAAAGCCTTTACATGATCGAATTTCGGTCCACAACCCTGAATTAAGAAATAACCTAAAACAGGGTGTTACAGCCTCCACATAAATTTCCCATCCTGCTATTACCTCTACGAACTAAAAACCAAACGAAAATTCCATCTGCTTCTCTTCGATTTTTAGAAGTCAAATGTAGTGAAAAGGTATATATCTATTCTGAATTTTTTTTCACTTTTATACTGTTTTTAACATAATTAAAGCTATTACGATTGTGATGATTATTGATTTTTAGTAGAACTTAGTGTTTTGGTTGATGATGATAAACTGTATGCTATTAATAATAATAAAATCGTTAATATTGAGCAAAAACAACGAATTTGATTTGCTTTTTTGTGTTAAATTTTCCGAAGTTTAGAAGCTTAAGAAACAAAGGAATTCTTTACTAACACATCAAGTTCTTCAGGAAGTTTATCGATAGTAATTCGATTCTTCATTTTCCAACATTTTTTTGATCCTCATCGTATATTATTGATTTATTTTGCTATTAATATATTAAAAAACTGATGAATTTTCTATCATAATTGATTGTTCTTTATTGAGATTTGTCGATATCTACTGTTCATTGAAATCGAAGTGATCATAACATAAGCCATTAAAAACTTCAAACATCTCTATCGATTTATCAATTTGATGCTTCATTTTCAGAGCTTATTAATCAATTTTCAGTTCTTTTAGTTTAGTGGGAATATAAATTTTATTCTTTATTTTTAAATTTTTTATATTATGTAAGGGCAATATAGTCATTTTTCATCATTCACTATAAAAATAATCAAAAAACATGGTTCTGGAATCAACTCAATCACCACTGACTCAATTAGTATTAATTCAGTTAGCACTTAACTAGTTACCAACTATCAAAAGATAAGCCTAGCTGGGAAGAGGTACCGGGTTTAATACCCACGTAGGGTCAGAGGTCGGGAGTTCAATCCCTGCAAAATCCAATTTGGGTGCCTCTTAAACTTGTGCCAAATGTGGGGAAATTTTCCCTGGAAACCCCTATGGGGGCTGGGTTTGCCCTGTAAAGGAGCTCGAACCCGGGGTGCTCGTTGAAATATGCGAGTAGGCTTCCGTTTAATCATTTGCCGTTTCCAAAAAAAAAAAGATACTTAAATACTTACGATGTTTGTTTAGTTCTAAGTGTAAGTTTGCCGCCAAGTTGGGTTTGTGTAAGAACTGTGTGGGCCTCACTTTTATGCAGGCATTCTCATTGGCCCATTTGCTTAACCAAGCTGCTTCACTGGATGGTGTGAAGTTGTAAATGATGGATGCCTTATTCATTTTTCGATTATTGCTAACCTTTGATTAACATAATCATTTTTAATTCCTTTTGCTTTTGATTTCTTTTTCTTGTTGCAAGCAACAATTAGAAATTTTGTCGCTGCTCTTAAATGCTCTTAATATAGACATTATTAGAGGAAACTGTTTTCGTTACTAATAACAATTATAAAATGGAGTTTTTTTACATGAAACAACGATTTTATAGAAACACAAACATTAGCGAAAAGCTAAAATACAAGTCCGTAATAAGATTGAATCAACCAGCTTTTCGATCTAATATTTAGAACTCATAAAATAAAGGTTACCCGCAGATAAAGAGGTGGTATATTACATATATATATATATATCACGTGCACAGCACACTGGCGGAACTTATACACTAACCAACCTTCTTAATTTACCATCATTATGGTTCCTATAAGAAGTTAGCAACATTTGACCTTTGTGCCGTGCCGTCACAGCTACTCTTTGTTTTTTTCTTCATCAAAATCATCAATGAAATAATCACATTTGAGAAAAATAATTTTGATATTCACTCAATAATGAATCTAGGTACCAAAGAAACAAAATATTATGTGATAATAAAAATCTACAATAATTCAGTAAATTTTATACAAACACAAAATTAACACACTGATGAACATAAGAAATCAATCATGCACACAAAGTATACGTATGAAGCTAGCTAGCTAGTAGCTGCACAAATAACCTCACCTCGTCTAGTGGTGCAGAGGGTTAGGACCAGTTGGCACGAGTCGTTTCTCAACGCCATAACGTGGATCAATATTGGATGTTCCAGCTAGCTCTGATGAATTGTCGTGGTGGCGATGGTGTTTTAGGAATGGGGTGAAGTCAAAGTTAGAGGCTAGGGTTTTCCGGTTAGTTAAAGCATGGTGATCACGGATAGGCGAGGTGGCAGGAACAGTGATGGATTTCGACTTGACATGGAAGATGATGAGGAAGATGAGCGAGAGCCAGAAAATGAGGTGGAGAAGGACGGATATTTTCACGGCCATGGTGGTGGTCGTGGTGGTGGAGGAGGGTTTGCAGATCAAACATGGAGCAAAAGAGAGAAAGCAAGATGAGGAAATATAGGCAGCGTTTAGTTGTTTGAGAGTTTTTGAAGGTTGACAGCTTGAATTTCCCGGATCAAGTACATGATATATGGAAAAATGTTATAGATACTATTCATATGGTTTCCTATTCGCTTTTTCTGTTTTTTTATTTAAAATTTGTCTTTTAAGAAATTGTTTTACACATCTTGAAGAAAAAGAACTTGTACGTCAAAAAACATAATAAACATAAAGTAATCATATAAATTAAAATAACTGTTTGTTACAGTTATAAACAATAACTTCTCTAATCAAATTTTATATCACAATTACAAAATTAATGGATTGTAATTTAATTAAAGAGAGCGAGAGAGGGAATAAGGGAAGGCAAACACACCTCTTCCCATAAAAGTTCCTTTGAAATCAAGGAATGTAAACCCTTTTTATATGGATTAGTGTCAAACCCCGAATTATATAATCCTTGATTATATATCTTGATCTAGTTATTTATTCTCCTTTCTTTATATATATATATATATATATATATATATATATATATATATATATATATATATATATATATATATTATATATATATATATATATATATATATATATATATATAGGAGGGTTCAATTGAGAAAAAAAAAAGGTTGAGAATGGGGGATTCATTCTCAGCCACTCATTTATTTTTGTCGCAAAAGTCTCCGTCGTACCAGCGGAAATGTGAAAGGAATAGACATGTGTTTTCCAACAAAACATGTTTCCTTAAACTATGCTAAGCATTACTTTAATATATACAAAAACATAGTTTTTTCGTTTTTTTTTAATTTTTAAGAAACTATATTTATCGAAAAATGATTTTAAATATACCAAAATTCATGATTTTTTATTCTCTACAAATAGACATCCATATTGATATAGTTTTAAGATAAAATAAAAAATTTATTTTATTTTTTTATATTTTCAGCTATCGTTATTCATAAGTGAATAAAAATGAATCAGGTTTTTACTACAGTACATTCGTTATTCACTTATGAATAAAAACTATGATTAATTTTTTTTACAATTTAAGTATCATTCATATATGAATATAGCATATAATAAACATAGTATATATTCATATTTAAATATTAGACGATGCATTCACTTGTGATTATTACATGATATATTCATTTGTGAATATTAGATGCTATATTCACTTATGAATATTAGATAATATTTTCATATTTGAATATTATATAGTATTATATGGTATATCACATGTGAATATTACATAGTATATTCACTTGTGAATATTAGATGGTATATTCACTTATGAATATTACACAGTATATTCACATATGAATATTACAAGATATTTTCACAAATATATATAATTTTTATATGTTATTCACATATGAATAACATACAGACTTGCATATTTGTTTTTTTGTTTTAATAATCATATACTGATTCAGGTGAGAAAACATATTCATATATGAATATAACGTGGTAATTTAGTTTATGCATTTCATTAAACAGTTGGAGTGCATACAATTTAACTTTTTTAAAAATGTTAAAAACATGATACTTTGACTATTTAAATCTTACAAAATAGTAGATTGATAGAGAGTTATATGAAATTTTTCAAAAAAAAACGATTTGATCTTTTTCTAACCCCAATTTTGAAGTTTTATTTGATAATCGATGTTGAATGGATGATATGAAGTGGATTTTTTTGTTGATTATCGATGATGTTGATCTAATGACGTTGGGAGTATAATTAATCGTAGATGTTGAAGATCTGATCGTTTTCAAGCAGAATTGAAGGTTGGATTAAAAGAACCAAAAACAAATTTTTGTTGTTAACTGTTGAATCGTGTTGATAAACATGTTATTGACGAAGATCGATGATTGATTAACACTGGATGATGTTGATGATTGTTTAATTGAAGAAATATGGATGATTGGTGAAGGTTGGAGGAGAAATTTGGATGATGAACGATCGATTAGAAATGGGTTTGAACTGTTATCTATTTCTATACAGTTACGTATTTGAGATTGAAGGTTATTATCATATTTACAAGTTTGCCACCGTGTCTTTTTATGCTTAGATTAAATGAGTGGCTGAGAATGATTCCCCATTCTCAACCTTTTTTATTTTCTCAATTGAACCCACCTCTATATATATATATATATATATATATATATATATATATATATATATATATATATATATATATATATATATATATATATATAAGCCCGGTTCCAATGATGACTCAAAAAATGTTGAGCACTGCAACGATAATTCTCCACCACCCATTTTTTCAAGGGCATAAACGTCAAATCCAAATACTTGGCCGTGCTGCATTCGCATGCGACCTACGTCCGTAGTAACTAATACAGAGTCGAGTATTTAATCACGTGCGGGAAACTTCCATGGAACGTCATTTAAGTGAGTTTTATTATTTATTTTGGTTTATTTATTTTTTCATTTTTTTATTTTTCGTTAAAAAAATTTAAAAAAAGACTAATTGATATATGCTTGGTTTTAACGTTTTTTTTTTCGTTTTTTTAATTTTTTAATTTTTTTTCGATTTTTTTTCTTTCGTTATTATTTTCGTTTTTCAATATCTTTACAACATATTTGAAGATATCAGTTTTTTTTTCTTTATTTTTTTATTATTTTTGATTTATTTTTTGTTTTCTTTGTTTTTCTTTTATTTTTTAGATTTTTTAAATGAAATTTCTGTTTGAGTTTTTAAGGTTTAAAAATTATAAAATTTTGAATAAGAAGAATACTAAGGCTATAAGATCCTAACCGTATACAATTTTAAAAGCATACACTTAGCAGTTACTAATACCAATAATCATTCTCATTCTAGCATGGCATCTCAATATTCCCAAAGCTACAAGCACTACACATCAGGCCAATCTATCGCTGACTACTCAGCACTAGCACGCAAGTCTACCAGCTCATACAACGTATAAAGGCATCTCTCCTAGCCCTAACTAGCATGCGATTCTCAGATTCATAAACCAAGTCATAACCGATAACATATATGGGTATTTTGGGAAACTTACTTGAGCTCGGCTGATTGTATGCACCACACCCCTTTATTTGTCTTAGAAAACCATTTTTCTTGAAAACATTTTTCTTTTGAAAACTTTTCAGATCCTCAGTTTGAGTTCAGACTCACCCTAAAGTATGTCCGAATCCCTCAAACCAAGGCTCTGATACCAACTGGTAACGACCCAAAAATCGAGGGTAAGATTTTCATTTTTAATATAGACAAAACATAGATATCATTTATGCCAACATCCAAAAGATAGTTAATTAAAACATTTATCAGAGTTCATCCCAAAATCATTCAATGCGGAAAACATGGGTGTGTGCACTGCGATCAATCCGAGCCCTTCTTTTCCAAATCGATGATACCTGAAACCAATAAACAAAACTGTAAGCACGAAGCTTAGTGAGTTCCCCAGAGCATACCCCACACAGTCCACATAATCACATAATCCATATTAGCTATAAAAGCTACATAAACCATATCAATCACATAGACATGCATATCCACATATACGAATGCCGTGGGCTCGTCCCTAGAGTCTTAGTCTAGGATGCCATGGGCTCCGCACATGGTCTTACACCAAAGTGCCATGGGCTCTCCCATGGTCTTTGATAGGAAAGCCATGGGCTCTCCACATGGTCTTACATCCGAGTGCTATGGGCTCTTCCATGGTCTTCCATGCAATATCACAAAGACAACTAGCATACCACGTAATCACTAGCATACCATATATATATATATTATATATATATATATATATATATATATATATATATATATATATACCAGCCATATCAGTAGTGAATCTACAATAAACACTACAACACAGTAGGAAAGCCATGGGCTCTCCACATGGTCTTACATCCAGGTGCCATGGGCTCTCCCATGGTCTTTCATACAAGCATACCACATATACAGCTATCATACTTCCTTACACATAACCAGCTAACATGCCACATACTACAACTTCAGCTAGTATACCACATATCATAAAATGGGCCGACCTTGGTGCCTTAGACCCATTGGTATGGTGAGAAGACTCACCTGGCACTGCTGAAGTCTCGCGGTTGCAACTCCAGCTGCTGGTTGACAGATTCCCAAACTGCCAACATCAAACAATACCCAATTAATAATTAGGTTCCAAGCCCAAGGACCAACTCACACTCCAAAGGCCCAATATTCAAGTAATGGGCCAAGGCCCAACATATGACATAATTTTCCAAATTGGGCCCAAAACCTCACATCGGCCTTACCCTAAAACCCATCCAAATATTTTTGTCCATTTACTTGTTCTTGGATAGCCCATCAGTAGCCCAATCACTAAAGTCCAATAGAAGGGCCCAACTCAAGGCCCAAGTGAAATTAGAGTTTTCACATGAAGTGATGATTAGGTTTAAGTCTTTCTCACTTAACCTATTAAGGACTTAATCCATTAAGTCCATCACTCTACTAAATAAGTCATATGGTGTGATTGGGTGCAATTCACAATTCCAATGGCCCAAATATGGGTCCCAATAAGTCCAAGGCCCATAAATCGAATGTTAGTGTTTTCTAAACCCTAATTAGGGTTTCCACCCAATCATAGCCCAATAGGCCCAAAACTAAATCTTTAAGCCCATTAGGGTTTCAACAGGTCAATTAGGGTTTTGCTAGTCGGGCACCACCCACTACCACCTCGGGTAGTGGTGGTCAACGGCGGCGGCCACCACTTCACGGTGGTGGTTAGGGTTTCTAGTCCAATCGAGTCCAAGCACTCCAAAAGCAATCCAAGCACAACTAAGCACACCGCCACCCAACCCGGTGGCAGGTGGCAGCAGCCACCACCTCACGGTGATGGTTATAGTTTTCTATTATTATTTCGAGCAACATTTACAAATTACAACTCAATAACACACACACACACAT